TTCTTTACCTTTTTTTCCATTTACTCTCGCTCTTCGCTTTCCTTTTACAGCATCTGACAAAAAGAAAGTTGTATCGTTGGCATGCAGGGGGACTGCTGCCACTCTGCAGCAATCAAGCCATTACAAATGGAGTGGGAATGGAGGGCCTTTTGTTTTGTTTAGAGTCTGTGTATGTGTGTGTGTGTGTGTGTGTGTGTCTAAGTGTAGGTGTGTGTGCGTGCGTGTGTCATATAGTATTCTTGGCATTAGGTTGCACATCAGACCAGACCACATAATTGCCTTCCCCACACAAGGGAGGCTCCTTGTTTTTCATTTGAAGCCTGCCTCCGTCAGATTTCACCATTAGAGGAAACGGGTGTAGCAGGGGAAAAGAAGACAATTCCTGGATCAGTTATTTCATATGAGCTGCCAGACAGACATGGAGGATATTGAGGATGAATCCAGAGATAGCTTGCCAAGGTACTTTCTGCCTGGAACACAGAAAAAAATGGGACATAGCAAAACATGTGTAAAAACTCCTACTTGTTCAAAATACTGTTCTGTATCTAATGCTGACATTATTAAATAGTTTGTGACATTTCATTGATTTAATATGTTGAAATTCTGTATTTCTATCACGATAAATTAAATATCTCTACTTTTAGACACAGTGAGGTAAAAGAAGCAGTGGGTCTGAGCCATCTCTCATTAAATGTGTTGTATTTTATTTTGCATTTTAAAGAGTAAGTTACTAAAAATGATAATGTATAAATTGATATATAAATTAAACCTTAGTTGCAGTCATAAAACTTTTTTTCTCATTGCACTCTTTTGGCCACGGGATATAGATATTAGTGTTCATTAGTTCATTCAGCCTCCAAAACATTAATTTCCAAGTCCTAAATTTTTCATCTTCATTTCAAGACTAGTCTACACACACACACACACACACACATAATTTTCCATTTCCCTTGTTTATTGTTTTCACTCCCTCGGGTGCTCATCTTTCTGCACAGCAACATAATAACCCTCAGCTTGCTCTGACGTCAAGAATTGATGGGCAGAAGATTTCCAGCTGAGAGCCATTTCCAAACCTCAAGGCGCTGCTGTGATACAACCAGGTGATAGTTTCCTTGAAGGATTTTTAGAGGGTGTCTGGCTGCATTTTCTATCTTATCTTATCCAGTAGTAACTGAAGCACAAACACAAAGACTTCTAGCAGTATTTTATAAAAGACAAATAGCAGAATATACTGAAGTTATTAATTAAAAAGGCTTCAGAAACCTTCTTGGATAAAATTGAACATTTAGCCCCAACAATGACAATCAAATTGAATTTGTGAAGTCTTTATGCTTTGCATGCTTGACTTGTCATTTTTTTAATCTATTTTTTTTTTTTTTTGCCACCAAGACTCTTCATGTCAATCTAACAGGATTTAACGTCTTACTGAGAGCCCAGTTTTCAAAAGGCGTTTAGGACAGACAGCTGATATGTGTTAAGTGCATGGCATGCTGCTGGGCAAAAGGGAGAAGCAGTGTTGTGGTTTATTTGGTCCAGTTCACACACACAGTGCATAATGGATATTTAACAGCCCCAGTCTGCTGCAAGTGTGCTGTGTCCTGAAATGGTGCTGGCGACATCTGAGGAACTGTGTGACTGCCAGGATGACACACCCATTAAAACACACTTAGTCCATTTCACTGCTACATTTTCACTCTGGATTCATGCCACAAGAATGAACACAGCAATAACACACACATGCTCCCCTCTTGTTAATGCCTTCTTGCACTGAGTTAATACCATCATCCATATATTCACATGTATGTATTCCATATTCTGGTGTATTCCAAGAGTACGCAGTGGACTGTACATCGGCCTTATAATGTTTTAGGTATTCTGCCGGGCATCTCAGTCACACTTAAATCTAGGCTAGCAGAAGCAAGTGTGTTTCCCAGCTGTGCCTTCGGCAGAATAAGCATTTCATCCTCTTCCTGTTCTGAGCCCATACTGAATTATTGAAATAAGAGAAGCGCCTCACTTTGTCTTGTATCATCAAGATAGACACTCAAATCTCCAATCTGTGAGATCAACTCTGCCACCAACATGAGACAAAAAGTTGTCTAATTGTAGCTTTCCCACGGGATCATGCAAAGATTTTCATTTAGTTTAATTGTATGCCAGGCGTCTCAACAGAGCTTATTTTTGTGCAAAGAGAAGGAGCTGCTGCTGAGCTCTCACTAAAGGGGATGTGGCAGTTGACTGCAAGAAGAGAGAGTTACCTGAGCCATGGTGTCAGGAGGACTCATACACTTGTAGCCATCAGCTGAGATTCCTCCAGAGCGACCCTAATGACTATTATCATCATGCTACTCTCAGCTTTCTATAGCAGAACTCTGCAATTCACATACAAGTGAGACGATGCACAGTGTTCTGCTTCAGCTATAGTTCAACACAGTTAGTGTATGAGCCCTTTGCACATATCTGTATATGGCATTCCTGACATTCTGTCCTTAACACAGTGGCTCACAAAGAGTGCATGAAATACAGATTGCCTTTATTGTCATGGATAGAAGATTGTGGGAGAAAGGCTTGTCTCAAGTTTTCAAACTGCAGATACCAGACAAATGTTGGCTTTAGCTGGTAGTGTTGCATCATGTTTTATTTGGGAAATATCAACTTTTGCCATTTATTAGAAGATCTGGAGTCTCACAGTTACAGTTTATACCCCAGTCTGTCAAACTGTTAAATCAGCACAAGAGTTTTCATGAGAATGAGACAAACATGCAGTGAGAAAACAAAATGTGTTGTGCTGCACATGAATGTTTTTGTTCTTTTCTTGTACTTGAAACACTTTAATACCCAACACAATTTTCTAAACTAAAATCAAGTCATATTTACTACTGTCTTAATCTGAACAGATGCTGCTAACAATTTTAATGTGAGGAAGTAAGTGACACCATGTTGGAAAATGTTTATTCCACGATTACATCACAAGAAAATGTCTTAAATGTGATTTCAACTGGTCTATAATAGGTGTTATCTATATAAAATTGCAGCTACTAAACCAGTTCAAGCAGATGTATTCATTGTATATTATAGAAGATAAAAAACGCCCTAAATGTCATAATTACTTATAGCTGCCATCCATACTGAAGTACACTGAGTTGGAAATTTGTGCAGAACGGGCAATGAATGGATGTGTTAAATTCAGTTTTCAAGTGTGCACAAAGAGGTATTGACTAGTCAAATCCCCAGTGGAGCCGACTCTTGGTGCGAGTGATCGATGTGTGTGTGGTCATTGAACTGAGCTTAGAGGTAGTTTGTATTCTATTAGGTATCTCGGGGGCTTTGCAGCAGTGGAACAAAAGCGCATGCTGATGGCTAATTGCTGGCAAAGAAAAGGCTGTTACTTCTGCTACCGCTGTTTATGGGCTTTTTTTCCCCCCAGTCAGTTTCAGTTGTACAGTTTCTATGAGAGGTTGCCAATCCTGCTGCGACTCAACCTGATATATAATGCTTCTAGTGTGGTTTAGCTTTCATTGTTGCTTATGGTGAAGCTTAAGTGGCGATCTAAGTCCACTGATTTATTAAGTGACAAACATGTCAGCCCAACTGGACTCCTGAAAAACTGCTTCTCTAAGGTTATATTTCAGTAGATACTGTTTATATTAGATTATGCAGGTACACAACTAACAGACGCTGTATCGACCACTCAACACCATCTGCCTATTGTTCATAAAAGGTGATGAAATATTGTTGACACCAGCAGCAGAAAGGCATCAGTCCTGCATGGATCAGTAGCTTTTGCCAGCCTCCTCACACAACTGGAAGAAAAACTTTCCTTGGTTGCAAAAGTCTGTATTGAACATATGTAAATAAGTAAATAAAATCGCCGTGTGATGGACTGGAGACCTGTCACTCTCCACAGGATAAAGCGGGTATAGAAAACAAGTGGATGAATGGAGTGAATAAAATGACAATAATAAAACAACTGACTGACAAAAAATTCACTGGCATTTCTCAAGTGTGATGCTTAGTTGCTCTTTTTTACCTTTTGTTTACTAAAAATATAATACTTTTGGATTTAGCACTGTTGGATATCAGAGAAAAACCGTAACTTAATGAAGATATGATGGACACTTTTTTCAATGAAGAAAACAAACGTGGATGATTTGGCTGATTAATCAAAATGATTTCACGATAATTAGTTCACAGATTAATAAAAGCAATTATTTGTTGCAGCCATAATAAATATCTAAATACTATCTGTAAATACCAATTTTAGACCCTCCTGTCTTTTTAATATTCTCTTCTTTAACCTTATGTCTCTCTTTTTTCCCCCTTTCTATCAACCACAAATCTGAAATAAAGTGAGCTGAATTGAAAATTTAATTGACTCTTCATCTTCAATCTACAAACAGAAAAAGTCACATTTTCACTACAGTGTGGAGCATGCCAGCCGATAAGCGCAGGCAGAAGCATCTCTTTTTGACCAGCACCGCATAAGAAAGTACTGAAATGTTGGCTGTCAAAAATCAGCCCACCATTCATCACTGAACAGCTAAAAATACCCATAGGGTGGGGGATGAGGAGGCACTGAACAAACTCAGCCACCACATAGTGTATATTTTCATTATTATTGGTTTTTAAAAAAACACTTCAACATCCGTAATTCATTACTCGGCACATCAATATCCTTTATGTCCTGGAGCGCTTAAAGGTTTTCTCTAATGTGATTTGTTTGTTTGGTCTTCCTCTTTCCCACGCTCATTATCCTTCCTCTGTCACTATCACACTGCCTGAGATGTGTGCTGAAGAAATATTATAATGCTAGTGGAAGATAATCATGTGATCCAAACATTAACTTTCCAACAATTGCTGATGCTTGGAAAGAAAAAAAAAAGGCAAATTATTTTCGAGCAGGATCTCAGGCTGACGACATTCAAAGCAAGCAGGTCTACCTCACACGTCTTTTTCCATCTCGTTTGTCTCATGCAGATCCCAGTGACAGCGTGTACAGCATGAGGCTGGTGTGGAAATCCCTGGACAAGATGAGGTGTCTGAGGAAACGCTCCACTATTCCCTTCCTCGGTTTCCTCATCACCTTCCTCCTCTTCCTCAACCTCTACATTGAAGACGGCTACGTGCTGGTTAGTAAATCGTGTCACGTGCGCGCTTTGCGTTTCTTTTTCCCAAGCGTTTTTGGCAAGCATTCACCAAATTAGCACCCACTCTATATTTGTATTCTTTCTTGATGTCTGAACTTGGCCAAATATGCTACTAATTCCAAATATTTTCTTCTATTTGTTCACTTTATTCATGTTGTCCCTTTTACAATTACTGGAAACATGTTTAAATTTTTATACCATGGGCCCAAGTTGAAATCATCCAGATGATTTATCTCTTATTCATGATGCCATCAAAACTTGGTGATCACAGTACATCATCTATGTTTGTTATTTAAATTATTAAGGGGCAGTTCGCATTCTCAGCTCATTGGTCCATCTGTTCAGCTATGCAAACTCCCCAGAGAGGTTTTAAGATTGCTTTCGTCTCCAGACATCAAGGGTTAGCTCCGCCACATCAAAGCACATATTGTTTTAAGTCTGTACAGGTTTTTAAAAGCTGCTTTTCCCTCATTTGAATTATTCACAGTCGAAATAAAAAAAGAATTAAGATGAACATTTCTGGCTTCTTTTTTTTTTGTTTGTTTTTGTTTTTGCAGACAACATGTACAGTTTGTTTCTTCTGTTGTTCATAATGTGTTTTTTAATGTTGTGTTCCAGGAAGGGGACAAGAGGCAGCTTAGGGAAACATCAGTCCATCCTCCGAGCTCAGAACGATACGTTCACACCTTCAGAGACCTCAGTAATTTCTCCGGAACCATTAATGTCACGTATCGCTATCTCGCCGGAACCCCGCTGAACCGCAAGAGTAAGTTTAGTGTTTCTTTAAAGACAAAATCTCACTGAGCACTACCATGAGCTTGGGCAAGTTACAGTAAATTGCATTTATGAACGTGAGCTGAGAATAAGAAGTTGAACTTAAAATCTGTGACATTGGGATTTAAAGCACAGCAATAAACCCAAACTACTCCACAGAGGTTCTTCCCCTGAACATTAAACACGATGCAAAACTCTTCTCCGGTACATCATCTTTATTCACAAAACGTTTATGTCTATTTTCCAGTCATAGACTTTCTTTTTTTAACTACAGTGAGCCCTGAGCACAATTTTGTATTCCGAGCCACGGAATATTCCGAGAAATTCATCACTTACTTTGACTGCATTTTATCTGAAATATTCCTGACTGACAAATTTATTGAAACGTAAAGCTAGTTTAGGTAGAGTGATTCTACTACATTTTTTTGTCAGTTCAGTGAATGTACCCTCACAGCCTATTAAGTCTTAATCACACTCCCTTACAGTAGCAGAAACCACAGACGCACAGTTGTGTTGTACTATGTCTTTGTCTGCTTGGAATCTCTTTGATGGACTTCATTCCATACATGCGAGGTAGATTGGCATTTCCTATCAGGCCAGTGGGCTACTTTCCGCATTTGCATGCGGCGGAAATTATCCTCGCGCAGGCAGTTAGTGAGGCAACTGTGTTTCAAGAGCAATATTTTGCATCCTCAGCAGCAGTGTGTATGAATGCACACTACTGTTTGCTCAGATAAGAACTGGTGCACATATATGATATGAAGCTTTCCAAGAGGACTCCAACAGACTAGAAAAGTATGACAATAACAACAATTTTGTGTCCGTGGGTGTCTGCACTAGAGTATAATCACGGTTTGCATGCATGAACACTACTGCTCTTGTAGAAAAGTGGCTGCAGGGACTATCTCTGCGACAAATTTTGGATTGCATGCAGACGTCCATGGATGGATCTATTGCAGACTACATGTCATGCAGACCCAATCAGTGGAAGCAGAGGGACAGTACATTTGGCACATGCTAGAAGTATGCTCATGAGCTACAGTACATATTGACAGTCTGTCAACAGAATCTACCTTTCATACACATTTAGTCTAAGTTTATCTCTGTTTCCTAAATATGACAGCTATAGTTTCACAAAATTTTAATTAAGGACATTTTCAAGGGTTTTCAGCCACATACATCACACTGCCAAGAGTGCGAGGAAGGGTGGGGCCATAAAGGGTGAGAAACTTTACGCAATTGTCACAAGAGAGTGTAGGTGTCGTCAGGTGACGTGACGTATTTAACTTGGGTTGGGGGATAACATCTGGTTGTCTATAAAGAAAGCAAGCTGCTAAGGGCAATGGCATGCATTTGAAAACTCAGGAAACAGACAGACCAGTTACAGATATTTTGCAAGTGCTGACCCCAGTGTCAAGAACTCTCACACTTCAGTTATAGGTATCAACTGGCATCTTTATACTGAGTTGTACAAAGATTAAACTTCAAATAGTGATTATATGAAATGTTCATATTTTGTTCACAGAGTATCTCACCATTGGACTGTCATCCGTCAAAAGAAAAAGAGGAAACTACCTTCTGGAGACCATCAAATCCATCTTCGATCAGTCCAGTTATGAGGAACTGAAAGAGATTGTGGTTGTGGTCCATCTGGCAGACTTTGACCTGGTCTGGTGTGAGAACCTGGTGCAGGAAATCACCAGGAAGTTTGCTCACCACATCATAGCCGGACGCCTCTTGGTAATCCAAGCCCCAGAGGAGTACTATCCATCTCTGGATGGGTTGAAAAGGAACTACAACGACCCGGAGGACCGGGTCCGTTTCCGTTCTAAGCAGAACGTGGACTACGCTTTCCTCCTCAACTTCTGCACAAACCTCTCTCACTTCTACATGATGTTGGAGGACGATGTGCGCTGCTCCAGGAACTTCCTGACGGCGCTGAAGAAGGTGATCACCTCCAGAGAAGGTTCCTACTGGGTGATGCTGGAATTCTCCAAGCTGGGCTACATCGGGAAGCTGTACCACTCCAGAGACCTGCCGCGCCTGGCTCATTTCCTCCTCATGTTCTACCAGGAAATGCCCTGCGACTGGCTCCTCATCCACTTCAGGGGTCTGCTGGCCCAAAAGGACGTGATCCGCTTTAAGCCCTCGTTGTTTCAGCACATGGGCTATTACTCCTCATATAAAGGAGCAGAGAACAAACTGAAGGATGATGACTTTGAGGAAGACTCCATAGACATTCCTGACAACCCCCCTGCCAGCCTTCACACAAACATCAATGTCTTTGAAAACTATGACGCCACCAAGGCTTATAGCACAGTGGATGAATACTTCTGGGGGAAGCCTCCTTCCACTGGAGATTTCTTTGTCATAGTCTTTAGTAAATCTACCAAAATTAGTAAAATTAAGATTGCTACTGGGTCTGACGACCGACAGAATGACATTCTTCACCATGGAGCCCTAGAAGTAGGAGAGAAATTAGTTGGGACTAAAAAAGGGAAACAGTGTTCATCATATATCACATTGGGAGAGTTTAAAAATGGCAACATTGAGGTTCAAGACGTAGACCACAAGATTGCCTTTGACATTGAGTGTGTACGCATTGTGGTGACAGCCAGTCAGAAAGAATGGCTTATTATTAGAAGTATAAGTTTATGGACTACACAACCTCCCAGCCAATGAGGACTGTACACAAAGACTCTTAGTATGTCATAGAGGCAAAAGTTTTTATTATTATTATTTAGTAATGTATGTATTTCCAGGTTTATTTATTCATTTTGTATGTATTTATTGATACTCATTTTGATTGCCAAATCAATATATAGTTTTTATACCTGCAAGTTGTAACTTTAGTGGAGCATCTTCACAGTCATTCTCAAGGACTGTTCAACTGACCTCAGAATATTCATGAACATGTTTTAGTAAGTGTTGCATTAGAGTTTTTTCATTTCTTATAGTTATCTTTATTATACAGCTGGGCGATAACCATGTGTAATTTTCTAGCAGCTTTAGATATTATCATGTCATGACCATATTGTGTTACCTTTTTACACAACTCCTCTGTCCAGAAAGAGAATAAGGTTTACAGTTTTCCATATTTTCTTACTCTAATAAAATCCCATGAAAAGACCAAAACCTGCTAAAGACTCAGTCCTGCTCAAGTATTGTCTACGTATCTCCAGCCTGTTGTGTCTTATTCCTTCATGCCATAGGGCTCCATTGTTGTCCATAGCTATCCTTCTGTCTTGCTTCCACTCACTGGAGCACCAAAATCAAATGTATAACAATCTGCCACATAAAATATTAATAATAAGTGCACTGCTTAAGTACCATTTGCTTCACGATAGTGCCCAGCAGTTTTATGAATTTGCTCAGCTTTTTTGTTGTCTGTTTTTAAAGATTTAGATCTTCGGTATGAGACCGAACAGTGTTATTTTGGGCTTTTCAGGGGATTTGTGTACAATAAGAAAGATGTAGAAATGTAATGAGTCCAAGTAAAATGTAATTGAAAATGTAGTAATTGAAGGTTTTGTGTCAAACATTTAATCTGATGTACATCACACCATTGAAATGCAAACCAAACCACCAAGTTCACTGGTGCGTGATTATGCATACATATGTCATATCAGTTATGTCATGTATGAATTTGTCAGTGTAAGAAAATGTTGATTTAATATCATGATGTCTTTTAAGTCAGATCGCCCAGCCCTTCCATGCTGACATAAGTCATTAGTGGACGATGAAATGAACCTTTATTTCTGAATGTGTTCGAAGGCTCTTCAGAAAGGTGCTTCAAGGGAGTAATGGACTCATTAGGGAACAGTGTGTCACTGATTTACTTTGTTACAACTGACAGTTTTGCTTTTCTAAATATTATAAACTAGTAATTATTTATAAATGAGCGAGAAGGCTACTTGTTATAAAGTGTAACTAAATATTTTCCCCTGAAAGTACTATTCAATTAAAAAACCTGCGTCTTCAAATTTTCATGATGAATATTGACCCTGCAAAAGTGTAGCCCTGGGATCTCTCTGTGAATGTCCCCTCTTGACCCCTAATTATTTTCCTTCTTGAAAACCTATCAGAGGTCATTCGTTGTTGCCTTGAATATTCACCATGTCAGCCAAGCCTTTTCTGGTTTACATATTCTTCCCTGGTTTAATCATCTTCCTGGCTGTGGTTGAGGTGGATGTGTGATTTGGCTGAGCTCTTTTACTAGCACTGTATGTTCTGTCAGGGCTGCTGACAGGAGAACAATGTTTGTTTTCACCCATCTTCTCCAAGAGCTGAGATTAGATTGCACAGTGAAGAATGGGCCAGGTCTTCTCTTACGTCTTTCTTTCTTTCTTTTTTTTTTCCCAACACAATTTTCCCCCTAGTAAATTGGTCTATGTTTGCCTCACTCTCTACACCAGCAAAACAACATCTTCCCTGGAGCTATAGGATCTCAATTCGTTCTTTCCCCAATGTTGCACTCTCACAGCTTTAGTGTTTTTGCTCCTACATGGTTTCCTCTCTGTGATCTTTGCTCTCCGTTCATACAGTCTGCCGCCGCTTTTGGGAAAATTGCTTTGCTGCTTCCCTCTGAAGATGCTTTTTCTCTACCTTGCTCTGTGTTCTTAAACAGGCAACATTTGTAGGAATTAATGCTGCACATGACACGTTAGCTCACCGCCACCATGCTGCTCAAAGCAATTCAGAACCCTGCTTTAAATGTAGCCTTTCCATGTTCATGTATTTAGAGTCTGTCAGTGAGCAATGTTCAATGAACGATTAGCTCTTACAGTGACATGGTGTCAAGAAATGACTCAACAATGCAATAAAGAGGTAAATGTTTACATATTACTGGAGTTCTTTAGGCGCATGCAGTGAAAGCAGATTGTCATTAGGCATGCTGCAACAGTTTTGTAAAGCTTTGTTCCACTGTTGCGATAGCCACCTGTTCCATGTTTTCCCTCAAGGTCTTGTTCAGTGTTACAGATCGAGACCTTTTGCAGATTGGCTTGTACCACCACCTCGAAATCCTTCCTCAGCAAATCCCCTATGTGCTATCTGAAATGAAATTAGAATGCCCACCACCTCACAATACAGCTCATTGTTTTTCCTCAGCATTTCCCTTGGAATGCCACTATTCATTTTAGTGAATGATTCCATGACCTGCATGGATCAGCTCCTTGGAGGGGATGTTGTTTGAATAGATGATGCTAGAAAACACAATCTACATTGTGCTGGGTGTGTGGTGTTCTTTGTGACACACACCAAGGTGCCAGTTCAGCCTCGAATTACCTGCTTATGAGCTAGAAATACACAATGTTACCACAGGGCAGTTAGCTGTTGTACAAGTGTAATGGATGGCTTTGATACGCCTCATGTCCAAGTAGAGCAACCGTGTTGTGGGGCTGATATTTCTCGAGGAGAAAATGCTGTCTGATCTTTATTTGAAATAAGATGCCATCCAAAACTAGCTGCACGCTGCAGATTTATGGACAGATTTGCATCTTGGGGATAACAACAAAGCTGCATAAATTCCTCAACTGGATGTCAGCAAACTGCTGCGCGCAGCATTCTTTGCTATTGGCAGCATGTTTGAAAACCTCTATCCATACACAGCCTTGGGTGAACAGTGCGCACAGGATCCGTTATGCATTTCACTTAATACTTAAGAAAACCTGTTCTTTCATCCTGTTGAGTACTTACAGCTTGTAATTGTCAAGAATTAAACACTAACTGTATCGACAAACCTCTGAGAACAAGGGCAGAGGTTTATGAATCACTTGCAGGAAGGTAACTATCTAAGTTGATTTAATTACATTGGCTGTGAAGGTTCAGTCCCCAAAGCTCTAAGCAAGTGATGAATGTGAATATGATACATGGGTCCTGAGTTATTTGAAATGTGAGCTGTCTTCCAGTGGAGCATGTACAAAGTGCATGAACAAAAGCATTTTCAGTGGATTAAACAACTCCTTTTGTACGTCAGGATCTATAACTTATGGTTCCGCTTCTGCTAATGAAATAGTACGCAGAAGCCTACCAGTACTACCTTACCAGAGGTTCTGAGTTCATGTGCTGTATATTGTTAAGTGGAGCGAGTGTGTTAAGATGTTGTTTCTGTGTCTGTTTTACTTTCCATTGTTCTCTAATTGGTACTGTATTGTAAGATGACATATATTTTTTTACATGTATCATTTCAAATGTTGTATTGTATATATTGTATTTAAAATGAAATTAGATTAAACAAATGAATGCCAAATCTGTAGTGCATTGTTTGCTGAGGCCTGGCTGTGTGCAGGAGAGCTTATAAGACCACACAATATTAAATATGTGTCTGCGGTGTTAGGACTTCAATATTGGTTTGAATGCCTTGCCGAGAACGAAACGCTTTTACGTTTCCATGACCCTTAATGAAAAATTCTGTCCCTCTGTCTTTGCCTGAACATGTTGTGTTTCAGTGTTAACAAAAACATGCAAAATTGAAACAGACTATACATTTATGACATACATTTTACACAACAAAAAGGAGATAACTGACATTTGAAGCTGCTTTAAACTTGCAGCGAGAGTAAGCCTGTTTGGCTCAGATCTCACTGTAGCCAAAAGCAAAACCCATACATTATTCATTTCAATATTCATATGCTTTCTGCTTTTTTTAACAGCATACTTAATGAAGGTATGGAGATGATGCTTGGGGGGGATACTGTACTGTTTAAAGCTTCATGCTCTTTGTGTATTTGTCAAGAGGGGTCATATATTTACTTGAAGGGCACTGTCAGATGAAATCCATTTTGAAGCAAACATCAGTGTTATGAGGAAGGCACTTTATTCACTACAAGATACTATGTTTTTTTATTGCCTGTGTAAAGGGACACATGAAGCTCAGTATGGTAAGTGTCTGTTTAACCTGTGCCCACGGTCTTTTGTTTAAAAACCCACATCACATCTGCATAATGTCACAAACTAGCACACTGTAACGTCTCACAAGAATACTGAAATCAGGGCAAGTTACTGTTTACAGAGATCCCAGTATCACCAGTCCACAGACGATAAATAAGCATAAGTTCAAATAAGAAAAAAAATAATAAAGTGACATAAGTGCTATTTTTTTCAAGCTAATTGTTGTCTGTACATCCAAATATTTAGAAGAAAAAAATTTAATGAAAAAAAAAAAAGAAACTCAATTGGTGGCTTATGGTTAACTTGTAGCTTTATGGTAACATTGAACACAGGATTCCTGGTAACAAGTAATCAAAACTGCATGCACAGCAGGGGCACTAGACATGTTTTTCAAGTGTAATAATGGTTAATGTCTGGGACCAAGCAAATGAACAAAGGTGTCTAAAAGAAAATTTCTCATTTTAATTAAATATAAATTGCAAAAGGTAACAACAAATCCAAGTATAATGCATTAAATTAAGCCCAAACTGAATAAGATCAACCTATCAACAATACAACTAATCCTCTTCCATTTTCTGTTTGCTGGAGTTCGTTTGCTGCATTCAGTACCCACCTGATAGCATTGAACAGAAGGACAGAACACCCCTCACACAATAAAGTCTTCATTGTTGCACTCATCCTGGCTATTTGTAACATGAGCATGCATGGAAATCATATTCTGTCTCACTGATGAAACCACTCAGAATCCAGAGTATACTTGTCACCCAAAACCTAACGGGAACTGTATCACA